ATGCCCCGAGGCCCCGCCCTAACCCCGTGGCCATTGGCTGGCTGAGTTAGGGCGCTCGGGCCCCTTGGGACTGCTGCCTTCTGGCTTGGCCTGGCTCAGAGTCCGCTCTGCGGAGGGAGTGGGCGGGGCCGCCCTTTGGATCTGGCGGGGCGCCTGGCGAGCCCCAACCTGGCAGCTCACCGAGCCTGAAGGCCCTTTTCGGGCCGTGTTGACACCAGGGCATTGACAATGCGTTGGGCAGCCTCACTCACTGGGCTAGGAGGATCCTGGCTCCCTAGGCCCAGCCCTTTCTCAAAGTGTCTTTTTAAGGTACCAGGTCTGCTTATTTCGGACTAGGAACACTGGAGAGATGATCAACAGGGCTGCTGAATCTGATAGTTTTCAGAGTTTCTATTAGAAAATTGACGCATCGATATAAAAAGAATCTTACAAGCAACCCCTTCGGGTCCCCTTCCACTGTAGGAGCTTTTCTGTCCTCTTAATAAATCCTGCTTTCTAAAAAAAAAAAAATCTTACTATTTCATACTGATTACCAACCTATTTTTTCTCCTGCTGCATTTGTCTGTGTAATCTTTTAAGAATTGTGATGATAGGCAAATCTGAAGGTAGTGAGCTATCTCAGTAGATTGTTCACAGTTACAGTTCAAACTCCTTGTTCTACTTCCCCCTTCTCACTTGACTAGCCTAGAAAAGAAAAAAAGAGAATTGTGATGATTGAACAATTTATTTATTTATGCAATTAACTCAGTTTACCTATCTTTGGCCCTTTTTTGGTCTTTCCAAACTAGTTACTTATTGGAAATTACAGAAGATTCTTGTCTGGATTATTCATGGATATTAAGAAGTTTCTTGTCTGGATTATTCATGGATATTACTTAAGATTCACACTTTCTGCCTCCACTTCCCGGAATTAAGCAACTGATTTCATATTCGTAATTCTGTTTTTTTTATTCCTGTTTTCTATTGGACAGTTCCCTGCAACACAGGCCCTACTGGGTTTGGGGCTCTTCTAACAGCTCTCCTCTAATTGTGATTTAGCAGTGGCATGAGTTAGGGTCCTCATTAGCTTAAGATTTGTTCACACAAACATTTATTGTGTCTACTGTGTTCCTAGGCCCTAAACAATGGAGATGCACTAATGAACACAGCAACCAAGTCCCAATCCTCCGAGTACTTATATTCTTGTGAGAAGGAAGTGATAAACATGCAAACAAAAGTATTTTAGATAATCACAAGCAAATGAAAACAAAAGTGCACAGAGAATGCCTGGGAGTGGGTGGGAAGATACTTTAGCAGGTGAGGGGTATCAAGAAAAGTCTCAAGAAGATGACATTTGAACTGAGATCAAATGATAAAGTGGTGTATTAATTTCTTACTGTTGCTACAATAAATTACCATAAATTTAGTGACTTAAAACCACACACATTGTAATTATTGAGGCCAGAAATCCAAAATGGGTCCCCCTGAGCTAGCAGAGTGGCATTGGTAGGGCTTCATCACTCCTAGAAACTGTAGGGAAGAATCGGTTTCCCTGCCTTTTCCATCTTCTAGAGGTTGCCCACATTGGCTTGTGTCTCCATTCCTTCATCTTCAAAGTCACGTCATGGCTGGGTCCTTCTCACATTACTGCCTTTCTAATTCTCTCCTACCTCCCTCTTCCACCTATAAGGATTGTTGTGACTACATTGAGCTCACTGGATAATTCAGGATTATTTCCCCATCTCAAGATCAGCTAGTTAAACATCTTAATTCCATCTGCAACTTTAATTCCTCTTGCCATGAAACCTAACATAGTCCTAGGTACTGGGGATTAGGATTTGGACATGTAGGGGAGGGAGGGCAGTATTATTCTACCTACTTCAGAAAGGAAACCTGAGGAAGATCTGGGAGAAAATATTCCAGAGAAAATACCAAGGGCAAAGGCTTGATATACTAAGCAAACCCTGTCTTCTGAGAGTGTTTCTGGTTTCTCTACATCTCGAATGCAAAGGATACTGGGGATGAAATCAGCAAGTTAGTTAACCTTAGAGTTTTTTGTTTAGCTTATATGTGGCCATCCCCAGGATGACACAGGGTCTCCAGCCATGGTGTATCTACCTACTTCCAATTACAAATGCCCAATATATTATCTTTAGAATTTTCTTAAAATTCTTAATTTAATTTTATTTTTGAGTCAGACTCTCACTCTGTCAACTAGGCTGGAATGTAGTGACATGATCATGGCTCACCTGCAGCCTTGACCTTCTAGGTTCAGGCAATCCCCCTGCCTCAGTCTTCCAAGTAGCTGGGACTACAGGCCCACACCACCACACCTGGATAATTTTTTTTTTTAAGAGACAAGGTTTTGCTGTGTTGCCCAGGCTGGTCTTGAATTTCTGGGCTCAAGCGCTCCTCTCATCTCCGCCTCCCAAAGTGCTGGGATTACAGAAGTGAGCCACCATGCCTGGTCTTAAAATTCTTAAGGCTCTTCAGCTGGGTTCAGTGACTCAGCCTGTAATTCCAGCACTTTGGGAGGCTGAGGCGAGTGGATTGCCTCAGCTCGCAGGTTCAAGACCAGCCCGGGCTACTTGGTGAGACCTTGTCTCTACAATTAAAAAAAAAAAAATTGAAACATAGTTGCATGTGCCTATAGTTCCGGCTACTTGGAAGGTTGAGGCAGAAGGATCACCGGAGCCCAGCAGGTCGACGCTGGGGTGGCCGTGAGCATGCCACTACACTCCAGCCTGGGTAACAAAGTGAGACTCCAACTCAAAAAAAAAAAAAATCTTCTAGTAAAATGTAAAAAATTGAGATAGCATTGCTAAACTTAGTCTCTAATTTCTTACCAAAGGCCAGTGGAGCTGACACAGGATGGATATTGGGACTGCGAGTGGGGGCCGATGTTGCTGAGGCACCAGATGCTGGGGAATATCACTTATGGGCGACCTGAAGTCAGTCCTGCCTTCTCCAACATCATTAGGCTTACAGTGTCTGGTCTGGCCACAGCTGTTATGCAGTACAAGCACTGAGTCTAGGAGTGTTCCCCTTCATCATTTATTCTCAAAAAGGATTAATTTTTATTCCAAAAATATACTCAAATTCACTTAAATTAAAGAGTATTCCTTCCTTGGCATTCTTCCCTTGGCTACATTAGCAGAGTAGAACTCAGAGTTATTCTTAATGCAGCCCTACCAGACTGACAGCACTGAAATGTCCCCCATTGCCCCTTGGGGAACAACTGGGGGCGGGGGTGGGGGGATTCTCAGAAATAACGAAAAGTCTTTCAGAATACAGAGCCTTCCCATACACATTTATCATGTTCTCTTGGTGCTCAGCAAAGAGAAATACAGGTAGTTCCTTGCACTTCCCCTCCTTGCATTTGCTCTTTGAGTGACAGAAAGCAATCAATAATATTTGTCTATGGTTTTTATCATGACAGGGATGTTTAAGGGAACAGGAAGTGAGAGATTTCACTGTTTCACAGCAGAGTTCCCATCTTCCATCTTCAGTATGCAGTGGAATGGGTGAATACCCGTAGAGGGTTCTGCTGTTTCTGTGTAGGACAGTAACGACTTCAACATAGAATAGAGCTGCTGTGTTCCAGTGAGAACCTCTTTCAGGCCTTTGGGAACCATTTCTCCAGGATTCATCCTGAGGGGCAGTGTCAGGTGAGTGTTTCACGGGCTCTCTGCCAGATCTTGGATGGCTGCTGCTCTGGCCTAAGCCCTGGGTGTTGTCCCATAGAGCTCCCCAAACAGAGTGATGCAACCAGCACAAATGTGCCTCCTTTCTTGTTCCACTAGATGCACTCTCGATGTGTTTCATCTGAATAGAAGGAAGTGACAGAGGAAGTGCCAAGCTGAACCATATTGGAGCCTGAGACAAAAGAAAAAAAACAATTCTGCCGTAGTAAAATTTTGATTTCTTGTTATTCAAGGATTTTTGCCTTGGTTTTGATTTTAAAGTGTTGCATTAAGACATTGTCTTGATTCTGAGCTTATTGGAGCCCTCTTAAATTTTGTTCCTGAGGTGAATTTCTCACTTGCCTTACCCTTGTCCTGACTCTGGGATGTAGGGTACCCATTTTTTTTTTTTAAATTTGAGATTTAGGGTTATACATATATATTTGTTACATGGACATATTGTGTAGTGGTAAGGATTGGATCTCAGGTGGCCCATTCCCAGTAGTGAACATTGTGCCCCATAAGTAGTTTCGGAATCCTGACCCTCCTCCCTCCTTCCCGCTTCTCCCCCCTTATTGATGTCCTGAGTGTCTATCTGTCCATCTTTGTGACCATTTAGCTCCCATATATGAATGAGAGCATGCAGTGTTTAGTTTTCAGTTTGAGTCAGTTCACTTAGGATGATGATCTCCAGCTCCATCCATGTTACTGCAGAAGATATAATTTCATTCTTTTTTATGACTGTGTAGTATCCCGTGGTGTATATACACCACATTTTCATTATCCACTGGTCAATTGATGGGCATTTAGGTTGATTCCACATCTTTGCAATTGTGAATGGTGTGCTGTGATAAACCTGTGGTTTTTTTATATAAAGGGTGTCTTTTTTTTTACAACAACATCTGTTCCTTTGGGTAGATACCTAGCAGTGGGATTGTTGGATGAAATGGCAGATCTATTTTTAGTTCTTTGAGTAATCTCCATACTGCTTTCCATAGAGGTTGTACTAATTAACACTCCCACCAATAGTGTATAAATATTCCCTTTCTCCACATCTGTGCCCACATCTATTGCTTTTAAATTTTTTAATAATGACCATT